AACATCTTTGAAAATTTAAAAAGTGAGTTGTTAAGGTTAAAGGGATAACACATGTAAGGATGCAGGCATGGAACATTCAGCACTTAGTACATTCTGCATATAAAAGGGAGCTGGTGTTATTTAAATGTTAGATTAGGCATTTCAAGGCATCAATGAGGAAGGCACGAGGGAAATAGATTATTTTAATAGTTATATTTACTAAAATAATGCTAATGTGAAATGTACTAATGTGAACTATGACTTCAAAAGTATCAAGTATTTGTAGTATATACACCTATAGAATTGTTCTTCAAATTAGACTTCGCAAAATACATACATTTTTTCCAATACTACAAAAATAGTTCTATATTAGGACTCACTTCAGGGATATTTTTTTTACAAAAAAAAATATACACAAGTATGCTAGTTTTGCGCAGATATTAGAGGATATACTCTCCTGGTTTGCAGCAAATGAAGGGCTGGGAACAGGGAATGGGTATGAATCATGTGGGTCATGGAGAAAATGCAATACTGATGTTAGAGAATTATGTTGCAAGAAAGGAATACATATATACTACTCAAGAAAAGGGTCAAATTCTTGTCACATGCTAATGGAAGCTCCCCATTTGCTCAGATCCAGCACTGCTTGTCAGAACATAACATCTACCTGTGCCAATAAAGGCAGTGCAGGACATCTGCTTGGCCTCCCGTTTACTGGTGTTGTCTTAGATATATTTTTATTATGATAAAATAGTACTCATGTCAAAATGCCTAAGTATCACAGTAATAAATATATAATAAATACTTATATCTAGACTGAACCTTGGCATATATAAGATATCATCTCACGATTTATGTGTGTTTTTTAAAAAGTGTTGGCTGATATCCAGTCATAGGAATGCATAAGATATTTATCACAGTGCATATTGTAAAAAAAGAAAGACAAAACAAGAAAGAAATGAAAGAAAGAAAGGAAAAAAGAAAGAAAAAGAAAGGAAGAAAGAAAGAAAAAGAAAAAAAGAGGAAAGAAAATAAGAAGATAGCAAATGTTACAAGGACAAAATAACCCAGGGAGGATAATGATACAAGTCTTAAATATTTCTTCAAAGAAGTCGATTTCTTTCCTCATATTCTCATATTGTTTTCTTGAGTATTTCAACCTCTGGTCTCCAAGCTATAAGCTTCATGAGGACATTGAATGCTGTTTTCTTAGAGCAAAAACCAGTGTCTACACAAAGTAAGAATTCGAAAATGATTTGCTGAATGGATGCATGCATATACCAGCATAATAGCATTTTAGTCAAGTAAGTACTGAAAACAGGAATTCTCCTAAAATTATGGCTCATACAGATATGATGGATTGAATATAAAAAACATAAGTAATAGAAGACTAACTTATAAAATAACCTCATGATGTGGGGACACATGTCAGAGATTCATTCAATAAAAATGAATAAAAGATACTTTGGAAACTGTCTATGTAACTTTCAGATAGTACTGGGACTGTACGTTTTCCCTTTTACTTTTCAGGCAATGGCTAGAATACTCCTTTAAAATCAACAACCTGTCCAAGTAACTGTGGTGCTTTTGTTTTAATAAAGGTTTTGTTTTACCAGGAAAAAAAACTGTGGCAATTAAACTTGAAGTAGGCTCAGGGGAATTAACAATACCCTGTGATTTTGTTTTCTTGCTCTTTTGTATTTTGGGGGATAGTCTATTTTTCAAACTTTTTTTCTTCCAACAGGAAAAGCAAAATATACTGACAAAAGCAACAGCCTTCTTTGGTGGTTGTATAAAGAAACTCTTATTTTTTTAAAGGGATACACAAATTTCAGTCTTCATAGTACAAAAACATACTATGTTTTGGCAATAGACATTGTTTAATGCACTTCTGAATTTGTCAATGTCTCAAAAAACAAAAGAAATGTAAGCTATGATTTTCTTATGACTAAACATCTCAAAATACTTTCAGTGAAATCAGAATATTCAAACTCATGAGAAGAGATAAATCATTATGACAAGGTTTTCTCTCTAGCCCAAACTCACCTTTCTATCCTCCCCCATTATTTACTGGCAGATACAGCAATATAAATACTATATAAACCCATGGTAGGGATATTTCTCTTAAGCCTTTGAGTACAAAGGCTATGAGGGGCAAATAATCTTAGGATACACAAATATCCTATATAAATGTCATTAAAGAATACAGCAATAGGTAGGTAAGTCATCTGGTAGGATTAATAACATTTATATTTGACAAATTCTTCAATTTTTAATGTTAATCGTTATTATTGTATATTCTCCTAATGGCATTGATTGGCTTCTGATTCTTCTAAAGATTATTAGCAATTCAAACATAACACTGCAAAATTCATACCAAAATGGTCAACTGCATTTGACCTGATGCTGGTCGAGAGATTAATCTACTTATTTTTTACTTTGTTCTCACTTTGCTTTTTGCTAAGTCCTCCAAAAAGGAGCCATAAAAAGAAAATAAGTGGAAAGCCATGTTTAAATATGACATATGCACATCTTCACTTTCACACATGCCTGTATTTCCTGCTGTAGTAAGTATTTCTTGTGCAAGGTCCAGGTTTTTATGATGTCAACTTTTGACTATAGTGAGAATGGATTTAATAATGGTCCATCCATGGGAATGGGGGAATGACATAAATTTTTATGGTTATTTCTTACTAATAGACAGTCTAAATGGCTATATAGAGCATGCATAAATATGTTACTATACAGAAGTTTGTTAGTTTTTGGCATCTAAGGTATGGCCCTGATCCACTGAGAAATAAATGTCCTCATCACCTCGGAAGAAAGGTGAACAGTAGCAATTCATTTCTTAAAGGTTCTATTGGGAATACTTCAAAATAGGATCTAGGTTCAATATTTTCTTTAATAAGATTTTTCTCTGTTTCCTTAGACAAGTGAGGGCAGGTAAATTATTTTCAAAATCAAGAGAATATCCAATGTGCACATGCCTCTTGATTAGACATATGGAATATGTACTTGGAGAAAAGCCAACTGGAGACCTGCTTGAGTAATCTAAACACCCAAGCTGAGAGGGGTTAACGTAGAAAGATCAGCTTTGTACTTTGAAGTTTTCTGGTCTTCATTTTGCCTAATTAAGGCAAGATTTAATAATCAAACCACTGTACAAACATGTACCTAAAAGTATAAGTTTGTTTCTAATTTTGGGAAGAATTCTTAACAGATTCCATGGAATCAGCTCCACATGGGAAAAGGTCTCTGATAAGATTTGCTTTTGTCATTGCTAAAATGCAAAAGCCTGCTTTTCATCTTAGTTTTATTCTGTGGCTGGGGTTAGCATTTGCCTGCCCAGCTCTCCAGGGTGATACCAAAGGAGAGAGGTTCTGGTACAAGCATACTATCTGAGTCTGAAAAAGTGGCAACTCTAGGTCATAAAAAAACAAATTCCAAAATATTCTTAAAGGTATTCATAGAAATCACTTGTAGGCCACAATTTCAAAGGTATCAATTAACCTAATTTATCCATAGCAGAATATACACATCAACATCCTTAGAGAAAAGAAAATCATGGTTGGCAGAAAAGAATATTTACAACTCAATATTAATTTTATAAACAGACTTAAGTCCAGATCAAAAAATTATGAGACAAAAAGTAGGACTCACAATCTTTCCTCCTACATGAATTTCTTACGCAGGACAATTTTCAAGAATGCCTAGTAATTTTAAGTTGTTCTGAGAAACCACAAAACAAATAAATAAACAAACCTAACTATCATAATAGAACAAACATATACATTCAAATTAAAAGCATTCTTTAATTAGACAGGGAAGGAAGCTGGTTCCCTCCTAATGAGACTGACTGATACCAAAATAATTTGATAAACTTAAAGAAATGCTAGAGTAATAAAATAGACATTAATCTGATGACGCAGAAAGAGTGTGCAAGGTATAGTGAAAGACGTTAGAGAGACAGTTGGGACTGCTAAGCTCCACACATTCCTTTCTCCACACACACCATATTTCAGAGCAGCAAAGGGCTGGTTCAAAATACTTGTGTTCAGTACTTTGCTCTTTAGTCCATGTTCCTTTCATGGCTCTGTTCTTGTTAAGAAAAAGACAAACAGAAGAAAAAGCTTTAGCAATCCTTGAAGTACCCCTTCTTGTATTGCTGTTGAAAAGATGTTTAGATTTTTGCTCATGTGAGTTTATTTTTGTGTGTGCTTTTTAAAATTATAATAAAGCATTTAATAATAAACCAAGTCATAGCCTTCTTTTTAAAAGTAAACAGGATATTGGGTTTTTTTTCCAATAGATTGCCCCCATAATATACTTGGAGGTGACATAGTACAAAAGAGGGAAAAATGAAATTGCTTACAAATTCATAGAAAATCCATAACCAGCCTATCTGATATCATTATATAGTAATCACTTTTTCTTTGCTGTTGCTTTCTTTAGCAGGAAAGCTCCTATGGATGTGGTATGATACAGACATCCACTGTCTACTCAGCCACAATTAGGCTACCAAAAAGAAATTATTGCAAGTTTGTGAGAAATTGCTTTAGATCCTTTTTGGAATAAGTGGGCTCACTAAAAATAAATGTAACCTAGATACATACAAATTGACAAGAAAGACCTTTTTGGCTAACCTTGTCCTATCTGCCATTACCTGTGAAAACTTTTGACTTGTAAACCCATCACAACCAATTCTTCATGCCTTTTCTGCAAAAATACTCAAAAATAGGTCTTAATACACATGGACCTTCATGTGCTTGTATATGAAAACAGGCATTCATCCATACAATATTCTTGCTAGTTTTACTACAAATGTGCTATGAACCTAACAGTGGTGAAAATAGCGATACTGTGTTGATATTCTGTCCTCAAGCCCAGATAACTGGGCTAGGAAGATAATCCCCCTTTTGCTGTGATACATCCTAACCTTCTCTTCTTATATACCCTCAGTGAAGAGAATCCTAATTTCCAAACCAGTCACTGTGATGTTTTGACTTGGCTTGGTAGCTTACTTTGTTCATGTGGATCTGCTGCTGGTATTGTTTCTGCTTCTCCAGGAATTGCTGGTGTTGCTGCTGAATGACCAGCTGAGCCAATGTGCTCTGAGGCAAAGGTGCAGACTGGGTTCGATTCAGGGGTCTGTGACGGGGCAATTTGTGGGTACCTCTAATGCCAGGTGAAATTCTCTCTTTTGTTGCCAAGGGCGACTGAGGATGTAAAGGAACTCCACCTGAAAAAAAAAAAAAGTGTGAGTGTGTGTGTGTGTATACACATGTTCACATCTAATTTTAAGAAAAGACAAGCCATTTGTGATGAAAACATCTTAAATCACATGTTCTCCCTCATATGAGGATTATACACCCAAAACAAATGCAGTAATATTATTGGACATGGGTCACACACTAAGGGGAGAACACGAATGGGAGAAACAGGGAAAGGAAAAGAAACCTAAAACTTGAATGTGGTTGATGTCCTCCCTGTTGAGGAGTGAATAAAGTAATCTTAAATTGGCAGAGGCTACTATGGGAAGGAGAGCAGGAAGTAGCGAAGGGGTCTGATAGAAATGAACCAATGTGGTTTGCAATACACAAGTGCATGGAACCAACATCAGGAATCTCTCTGTATAGCTATCTTTACCCCAAACTAACAAAAATGATACATCTTTCTTATTATCTCTTATGTTTTCTATTCAACAAAATCAGAGAAGAGGGAGGAAAAGGTTCTGCCTGGAAGTGGGGGGTTGGGGGGAGAGTAAGGAGGTCAGAGGGAGGGGGAGGTGGCACAAACAATGTATACACTTGTAAGTAAATGTAAAATCAATAAAATAAAAGGAGAAAAAAAAGAAGGGTATAGAGGGTGCTGGAAAACAAAAGTGCCAAGGCTTTGGATGTACCCTCATGGCTCTAACCATGAGACTCACCGGTAGTCCAGGTTGGTATGTATGGAGGTTAAATGAAGTGAGTTATCTCTACAGCCCCACTCTATGGATCTGAAGGAATGAATAAGGATTGTAGCCTTCCCCACAGTACTAAGTGTCAGGGAGACCCTTGTATAGAGCAGTAAATCTTCATTAGGGTCTTGAGTTAAAGAGAAAATAAAAGCCCTGAAATGACCTGCAAATAGTGCCATTGTTCATTACCAGCCACAAGAAGCTTTTGTTGTCTCATTTGTTCCTTCAATAATAAATGCTGCAGGAGAGCTTGGTGGCTGCTGTTGGGTTTTCCCTCTAAAGCAACATGAGCATGACTTGACGATGACGCATATTGCCTGCATACTGGCCAGGCAGAGGAACACCTTGCCTAAGCGTCTGTGTCTCACACTTCTGCTTTTCTTTGAGTGAATTTGAAGCCTGTGTCAAGAAATAATAAAGATGTTAATCCCCTTTCATCCAGTAGGTCACTAGGTTTCTACATCATTAGATGAATTTCTTACACCATAATTTTCCAAAACAAAAATATGGCTTACCCAATGGTCAAGTCAGGAAAGTGGATAATACTATGTCTTTTAAACTAACTGAGTTAACAAAAGAGAAATAAAAATAAGATTGAGGAATTGAAAACAATTGAGTAACTGAGTATCATTGTACTGAACCTAAGAAAGACTTTTTAAATATTAAAAAATGATGCTAGATACAAAATTTTGTTTAAATAGTAAGAACAAGTTCAAGAGGTATATTATATACATCATGCTGATGTCTATTATGTGAATAACAATATATCTTATACTTGAAAATTCTCGGAGAGTAGATATTAAGTGTTCGAACCACAAAAAAAAAAGTGTGAGGTAAAGCATACGCTAATTAGCTTATCATTCCACTATTTACATATATATATATATCAAAACATCATGTTGAAAAACATAACTATGTATATTTTACATATATTAAAAACAAAAAATGATGCTAATTACAGGCTTAATATCTGGTAAGTTCACCTCTAATATATTTTAAAATACACTGATAAAGAAAAGGTATGTTGAAAAGGTAAATTTTATTTAGTTAAATTAAAGACTATCTCATAAGGATTAAGATTAAAAGGTCTATAATTTTGGCGTTTTAAGCAACAGAATAATGCACTCTTTTTCTATATGTCCTAATACAATTTCACAGAGCTACAAGTTGCAATATTTAATTTTTAAAATGAAATTCTTAAAATAACTAAATGGAAGGAGGTACAAGATATGAAAGAATTTGATGTAAACATGTATTTTATATTAACTCATAATAGATCCCCAATTCTCTAAATATTAAATATGACAGTACAGATACTTTTATATAATAAAGTAAACTACAAGTGAAATCAAATATCAAGTAAAAATGCTATTAAGAACTTGAAATAGATGATAACACAATAATAAGGCAATAATAATTATATCAATATCAATAATGAATTATCCTATTCAAAGAATTTAATGAATGGTGGTCATTTTGGTATTACAAAAGCAGAAGTCTAATACCTCAAAATTATGTGGCATGTTTCTTTTTGAAGCTCATGTTTCATCTTTCAAAATTGCTGTGCACCAGGGAAGCAAAGCAATTTTCAGTGATCGAGAAATTGAAGGGCAAAGAGGTAAATGGTTTGTCTGAGTCACAGAGCAAGTCAATGCAATGTTTAATCTAACAGTGATGCCTGGTCCTGGCCTCTTTTCCTTAAGATTTCCCACTATTCAGTGGGGAAATGGAATATTAGAGATATTCTGCCAGAGCAATGCTAAGCTTGAGAAATTAATTGTGATGGCCTCATCCACACCAAAATGGAAGCAAAGAAAAATGAAACTTTAATCCAAACCACATTGGTTTAGTCATCCAATGGTACCAAATTGTATTACCATTGAAACATTAAATGGTCTGGCTTTAGTACTTGATCCTTTGGGAAAAAATTTTCTGTGACCACATTAAAAGTGGTGCATTTGTGAGTTCACAAGGAAGAGTGTCTCAGAGCATGAAAAAAGTAGTGGCACCAAAATGTCTATTTGTGCATTATAAAAAGTTTTTGGGTTAGGGTTTATTTATATTATAAAGTATGGGAAAATAGGAACAGAAGAAAGACATTTTTAATAAAGGAAGATTTAAAAATATTCATGACAATTTACTTTTAGTGTCATTCCTAATTCCTTTGTTCTTTTCACTAGAACCAATTTTTTATACATGCTCCATGTGGAATTTCAATGGCAGAGCTGAATGCGAGATTTTCACGCCTTTCTTCTGTAATCCTCAGATACAGAACCAGATCCAAATTTTGCTTCCTTCTCATTGGTATAAGATCATAGTAACACACAAAATAACATTGTACTCTAGATATAATAAAATACCAAACCTAATAAAAAGTGGCTTAAATTGATTTTATAACATGAATGGAAAATATATGTGAATCTGACATGCTGGCCTTAGTAGATGACTTGCTGCTAATGACTAGCAAAATTGGTGACAAGGGTTGGAAGTCTGGAAGACTAATACATCACATGGCCTCTGTGTATGTATAATTTAATTTACTAACTTTTCAGAGATGAATTGGCTCTGACAAATATTTTATAACAGCTAGCATTTATATGACTTTAGAATGTACATAAAATAATCATTGCTGTCTTCTGCTAGGAAGACAGTCCCCTCCTCCAAAAGAATCCTATTTCATTTGTCAGAAGTTTTTAACTAATTCACTTTGGGTCTCCTGGGAACAGTTAAATATTGTTCTTAGAGAGTCTTTCCAGATATGTATTCTTCAGTACCACAGAGTCAGTAAATTCCCAAAATAAAGTCATTCACAAAATAAATTCTATAAACATATGCTGCTGTGCTTTAGAATCCGTAACTCTCGGCACTGCCTCGGGTGTGCTCCAGGTCTGCTCTGTGATCTTGGGCTCTTAACCCCCCTTGGTCTCACTGCCCTCTTCGGTAAAACTGTGGACTGCAATTTCTGTTTCTCGGGATAGTTTTTTGGAGTTACTAAAATAATATGTCTGGAGAGTGCTTTTTAAAAGTATAAACCATTAAATGAATGTTATTTATTTTTATATATAATTAAGTGAACCAATATAATCCTGTGATTTGAAACTAAACTGAATACCTTGGAATGCAGCAAAACAGCAAATAATGAAGGAGAGGCTGAATCTAACAAGTTTTTCTCAAGTTGGAACATACAGGAAATGAATGGGGTTTCCCATATGAAAACACCGTGTGGGCTATTTTAGGCTGAGTCTGTGCCGAGACTTACGTTGAGTGGGGATGGAACTGCTGGAAGTCCCAAGGTGATGTTGGGCAAAGAAGGAGAGGTATAAAGACTTAGCAGGTTCATGGAATCTTCGTGAATTAGAATGCGTTGCTGCGAAACCAGTTGCTGTTAAAAGTAGAAGGAGATTCTCAAAATATAATAGTGTTGAGGATTTTACTGCAAAATATTTATATTTCAGCAAACAGTCCCCAAATTATATCTGAGAAAGGTATTTAAGTACTTCTTTTATGATTACTGTATCTAAGGATTCCAATGTGAAAATTAGATAAAATTTTTCTTCATCAGACAATTATAAAATCTGAAACAAGAGCATCTACATTCATTTTGCAAAGTTTATTTTAAAAATCTGATATTATGAAATTTGTCCAACCTGTTTTTCATTGACTGGCAAAGTAAAACAATCAAATTTGGTAATTTGATGAATATATATTTTTTGTATTAACAAGTGAAAAATATGTAACTAATACTGTTATGGTCATTGTCTTCATTTGAATTAAATGCCATTTTATTATAGGAAAGTCTTAAGACTAATGGGAAACTCACAAGAAAGTCTTAGATTAAACACCACCATATAGAGCTTCTAAAATAATCACATTTTTTAATATAAACATTTATGAATAGTCAACTCTTTGTGGTTTTTTTATCATTTATATTCAGAAACTAAAGAAAATGTTAAAATGTTATGAGTTCCCTATGCCACAATAGCCTTCATTTGCACTGAAATACCCTTAGTGCTTTGGCATCACAGTACTTTTTTACAACAAATACCTTTTTTTAATCCAATATTAAGAGTCATGTTTTCCCACATGTGGCCTAATATGGTTGCTTGAATTACATTTTCTGTTTAACTCTTGCTTCCCTCCCAGAACATTTATACAATAAGAGTTACAAAGGTCTTATTAGACTAAGGAACTCTGGCCTGATATGGTTCCCAAGGGAACAACATCCCTGAAAAAGAATACTCCATGTAACAGTATGACACAGTGACTGCTTTCTTCCCAAACAAAAAGCATATGGGACTCCAATAATAGACCACCTCCAAGAGGGATATTGCACACACGGGCTTTGGCTAAAGTAAATATAATAACTTGTCAAGCATGTTTGGGGGAGCTGTAGATTTTCCTCTAGACAAACCTGGGATATCAATTAACTAGGGAAAATATCATGTGCTAATACAATGCAACCTCAGAATGTCACTGAAGAGTGATGCACCACCAAAACACAGGATGTTATTCCAAAACATCATCTCAATCATACATCTGTTTGGAGATGAGTCCTAGCCTTAACATGAAAGCAGAGGTTAAATGTGTCATTTTCTCATTGCAACTTAGAACTCCAAGCTCACTCAGATTTTTATTTCTTCTTAAAAGCACATATCAGATATTTGTATACAAAAAAAAATCAAGTGGTATACTGAACCATTAACATTGTATCTACTTTATATTACAAAACTAAAGTTGTCTAAAATGCCAAAGCATGAACACTGTTTGGTAAGATTTTTAAAATAATGTGTGAGATCATCATTGTATGTTAGGAGCTATTACCAATTGCATGTTTGCTTTAAATAAAATGGCATGCAAATATTTTGCTTATACAAATAAGCTATATTGTAGCATAGAATAATATACCTGAAGGAGAGCAAAAAGAAAGCCTAAGAAAGGAAAGATATTTAAACTAGTTTATCAGTAGCACACAGCAGTTTAAAATAAAAGGACAGTCTACTCATTTATCTATACTCTTAGAAGAGAAAACAAGTGTAGAAAACTCAGAACTTTAAGGTTTCAGAGTCACATCTGCTTCTCACAATACTGATCTGACATAGACAATGGGAAGGAAATGAAAAAAGTGTACCACAGACTTCCCAAAAGAGGTTATCTTTGTTTTCTGGATAGAGTTTCTGTGATATCCTCCCAACTAAATTGAGAAATTGACTTCTTCTCAGAGGTGATAATGACAGTAGGCTGCTCACACTGGCTTTAACTAAACTGAAAGGATTTGGGGGGACTCCTGCACTGGGATTGCAGGCACCTGCAGTTTCAGATCAAAACTGAGCTATTCCATCTTCCATGACAGTGTACTGGTTTTTAGTATTCTCAAGCAACTGTTCTGCTCCTGGTGCAGATATGGTGAATGAGGAAGTGAACAGCAATCCTGCTTCCCAGTGGGAAGCACTTCGGTGCTGCTGAAAACATGTACACCACTCTGCGGATGCTTTTCGAGGGCAGGGAACCACAAAAACAAGTAAGAATGGCAGCCATTTCAGAGAAGGAGAGGGAGAAAACTCGGGCCCTCAGGCTTATAGGAAGGAGAGCAAGTGGGAGCCCACTAAGCTGGGTATGAGAAGAAATTCCTGGTTACTTTACAGACTTGAGGATCTTCAAGTGATGGAGATGACTCCTGAGGATGCAAGGAAAGCTTCTGTGCCCCCATATCTGCTGGTATAGTTGGTTCCTTCCACAGACACTGATAGGTGTAACATCATATTCTCAAAACTTCAGGGACTTGGATGTTGCTTAGCTTATCTCCTTCAATTACAGATAGGGAAATAGGCACAGTTTATGTAGACTTTCACACTTAAACAGAACTGAAAAATCATTTTCCTCAAATTGTCATCACCGAATACAGCTTTCCTCGGGTAGTCTTTCTGTTCCAGGTTATGCTGCTTAATAAAACCTGGACCCATACTTTACACTGCTGAGTGCAGGCAGGTTCTGAGGGAAACCACCCTACTAAGCCAATTAAGGAAACTGACTGATATTCTTGCAGGGCTGGAAGGCTACCTCACTTCAGCATTGTGGTGAGCCCACAAAGATTTTCCAGCAAAGTCAAGATTTTTTCAGGAAGCATTTTTGAAACTGATCCAGCCCTTAATTAGTGCTATGCTTCTAAGATGCCAACACTTCACAGCTTAGAACATGGGAAAGATGACTTTAATCTGAAAAATTTTCAGAATTGGAAACTTTTATTGTAGTTAAATGAAGTGGAAGTGTTAAATGTGTGACTGGCTATCACATAACCTTCATAAAACAATGAATAACTCCCCTGTGCTAAATTGCTAGTCAGGTGTACAGAAAATACCCCATGACAAATACTATCATTATAGTAGGGTTAAGGTATTATCATGGCACAGAGGAGAGTGTCAGTTTCAACCTAGGCTTTGATGGGAAGCGAGCACTTTGCCAAGAACGTGACTTTGACGTGAAGAAGAAGAATCAAGCCTGGAGCTGGAGTAGAGGCGTTCCCTCACATTTTAGTATGAACCCTCAACATTTTATTTATTTTCTTTTCTTGCTATCATGTCAATTGGAAGAATATCTTATAGATAATATTTGTAATTCAGATGAATAAAAGTTATATGTCTCTCCATACAACTATTTAGTCAGTCATTTAAATTAAGAGGTGACTACTTTCAATGAAAAGACCCAGAATTTCTTCCAAAATAGACACTGGCCAAAATTAGAAAAATGGACAATATCAAATGTTATAGGGATGTAGAAAGGCTAAAACACTTACACACTGCTGGACACTGCATGAACAATTTAGCAAACCAAAACAATCATACAATATACCTCGGCCTAGTGACTCCTTTGCTGGAAATCATAACTTAAGAAATCCTTTCATTAAGCTATCCATGGGTATATATTGAAGCATGTTTTGGTGATGGGTGGGAGTTGGAGGCTGCCTGCATACCTACCTGGGTAGATAAAATACAGCAGTACCCACCACAGATTTTTATGGTAATGAAAAGCACCCATAAAGATATAACACATGCTTAGTGATAAAAGTAAGAAAGGAAATGAGGTAGATAACACTGTACCATTTATATCCACGAAAATTCATGAGGCACAAAGCAAAATATATATATGATGTAAGAATCCATGTAAACCAAATGCAGGAAAGAATGAATGACTGCCCATGGGGCAAGGAAAATGGAAGGGGGAAAAGAAAGCAAAGAGAGATGGAAGAAAGAGTGAGTGAAGGATAGAGATGTGGAGGGAGGGAGGGAAGGAGGGAGAGAGGAAGGGAGAGAGATAAATGAATGCATTACTTATCTAAGGGGAGCAAGAAGTCAATGACCTCAATGGAACACTAGGTATATAACAAATTACCTACTTTTTAAGAAGCTCATAGGAAAGTGAAGGTGATTTGTTTTCAGTTTACTGTGTATTCAAAGTTATCTAAAATATTAGTGAGAATCACAAAAAAGAAAAAAAATAGTTTTGGTGAGAAGATGACTGAACTAGTGAAAAGAAGTTTGGTCTAAGCCTCTTACACTTGAGCTCTACCACTCACTCACTGTGAGTCTAGACAGTCACCCAGCCTCCCTGGACATCAGATTCTGCAATCTGAGACTGAAGCACTTCTGTCTACTTCTACCAGGTAACATGTGTCTATCAGAATGGCATACAGGACATGTTCGTAATTATCAACCAACTGACTTTTAGAGGTCTCAAATTCCTGAATGTAGACTACCTAAAAAGAAGAAAGCCACATTAAAAAAGGAATTCTTTAATAATTTAATGCTTTCCCATGGCTTTAATTGTAGCTCTCAAGATTTTATTTTCTTCCCTTCTTTCAGATAGCTTATAGGAAACATTAAAGCTCTATGTAATTAAAAAGAAACTTGCTTAGTTAGTAAAAAATCTAAGATTTCATTTTTACTAGACATCCAAGAATGTATTATTATAAAATGAGTGTGAGATCAAAATATAATAATCATTTGAGAAGTTTTGCTTTGCATTTCAAAGTGCTTTTAACTTTGCTTTTATGTTTTGTTAAAGATCTTACTTTAAAATATTCCTAGGAATATGATTCCTTGGAAATGATATTGTGTCATAGCAACCTCTGTTCCAGTGGGGGGGTGTTCTACTTGCTGCCACCTAAAACCATAACTCTATCCCTATTTAGAAAGGGGCATAACATTTACAGCAGATGCCATAACAACTATTACAACACAATAGGCAGATGAGGCATGTAAGATTGGGGCAAAGCAAGTGACATTTCAGATCATTTTAGAACACTTAACCTTATTATTAGAACCCTTTTAGAAATCATTTGTATCTGCTGGAAAAAATTATGTAAAAAATAGCAGAGCAGAGACAGCCACTAATGTTCAACTAGAAATAAACCAGCAGCTTGGCTACTGTTAAAATAGCTATCAAATAAACCTACCAAATCTAAAGTAATGGTGCTGATATCCATGGAAACATATTTGAACCCACAGGCACACAATATTAACAATAAAGTAACTAGATAGGTAAAGACATCTCTGACTGGAGTTGGAAATAGAAACCCTTGAGGTTTTAGCTCCCCAACCAAGTTTACAAATGAGTAAAGCAAGTAGCTTCAACAATCTGAGTTCTGGGACTGAGCATATGTAAGAAATAGAAGAAATGGAACAGAAGTGGTCAGAGCAGATGGAGACTCACTCTCACATGAGAAATGCTGGCTTGGAGACAAGCAAGCTAATGAGTTTTCCCTACCAGGAGTCAGCCCTGATAATAACAACAAAAATGAACTTGTTTCAGACTTCACAATGTGCCACCTGCCTTCCAAAAAGTGCTTACAACAAAGTTGTCAACATAGGTATTACTACCTCTTAGTAGATCAGGAATGTGAGGACCAGGGGAATTCTAGCAACTTGACAGAAAACAAACTAGTTGGTTTTGGAGCCAAGTTCATGGCCAGCCTTCTCTGAATAGAACACTGAGGCATTCCACTACATTGTGTTGTTTCTTGAGCCTTGGATTATAAGTATATTTTCATTCAACTTCTGTCTTCCCTTTATCTAAATTAGATAGGATATGCAAATTACAAGATTGAACTTTTTTTTCAGCTTGGGCTCAAGAACTTCAGGTATGGTATTACTTTTCTATTTCCTAAGCAGCAAAAAAAAAAAAAAAAGGGTAGAATCTTATGCATTTATAGGATTCTGAAAGAATTAGGGAATATGCTTTTCTATTTGCAGGTCATAGACTAGAGAGATCATTCAAATATATATGGTCATATTCTTTTAAAATAAAAAACTTTCCTGTATTGTTTAAGCAAAGATAGCAGAATAAGCCTATTCTGTAAATGATGAAGTATGCAACCAAGATTGTTAGCATGTAATGATGTAAATTCTGTTGCTATGAAATAATATTCTTTCATTAATCTTAGAAGACATCTGTAAAAAACATACTAAATTATAAGTGATGGTTAATCAAGTATGGCTCAGCATATTTTTCTTTTCCTCATTTTTCTAGATGGAAGCATTTAGTGTTACAAAGCTAGTATATTAATTTTCCAACAGTCTTGGTTTGAATTCTGCTGCCTCTCACCTACCCAGAATGACTTACACTACAGACCTCTGTAAATGCAATGCAACAGAAAACACATGTTACCCATCAGGGTTGCATTTTTTGTTCTGGGCCACAGAGAGGCTACCCATCAGTGCATAAAGGTCTGCCCACCTGGCCTTTTGGATCATAGTTCAGGCACACAATTAATTCATTATGAGGTAAGTCACTGCTTGCTTTTGAACTAGTCTTTCCAGCTCTGGAGGTGAATGTCCTGTCACTGACCTGAAGAAATACCTCTACCCTTTTAAACTCCATTAAATCACATTTCCTTCTGTTTTGTTTTGTTTTTCTTTTTGAATGGCAGGGGTGGAAGAATGGTTTACAATGACAGAGAATATTCATCCGAGAATATTCGGGTGAATATTCGGGTGAATATTCTCTGAAAAGAATAGAGCATCCGAAAAGATAATTTCTAACAATAAAAGATTTAGGGATACATAGCAGATTAAAATAATATTAGCAAATTTCTTTACTTCATATTTTCTTTTATACCCATTTATATGTGTGTATATAATAAATACTTAAAATAAGGGTCAAATAATCTAAGAGAGTCCATTTAATTCAATTTAATAGGACATAAAAGACTTGAAGTAAAGAGAAAAATCTCATCTGTTTCATTTATTTTCAGTCTCACCAGTCAGTATGTATTTCTTGGTTCTTATATGTTGTACAAAGTATTAGATACATGTATTTTATAGTGAATAAATATATGTATCATCTTTAGAAACTATCAAGTATTTTCCCTTCTTAAAAGGTAATCATCATGCTAATTTTTGTGTTAATCACCCTCTTGCCACTTTAAAATATATTTTGCTAAGTATTCCTAAACAAAATATATTGTTATTTGTGAACCCAATAATATAATGAACCTAAAAAATAAGTGATCTTCTGAGTCTTATTTCATTGAAAATGTACTTCTAAGAATTACATATGCTGTTCAATGGAGTGACACTGTGTACTTTTCATTTCCCAAGGGTACAAAATCCATCCAGGGGCTCATTAGAATCAGGACCTTTGGTGCTTTTGCAGTTACTAAGAACTATTACTCAACCTGAATCAGGATTTTAAAAAATATTTGTGACCAAATTGTTCTTTTCATAGACATAAATTAAAGGGTAATAGGAAGCTGACTAATATTGGGATATAATTGCACTAACTCAAAACACAACACCTAAAAGTAATAGTCCAATAATGTCATTTATGTCTCTGGTCACAAACATTCATGAAGTATTTATTCCATTGGATGTCATATTTTTCAAAGGATAACAAAAAAAAAGAGAAAAAGGGGTGACAAGATGATGAAAAAAACAGGAAGTATATAAAAATCCCAGAGATACTGTAGAGGCCTGAAATATAATTCTTTAAGGAGCTGAGCAATGAAGACTATGGTCTCTGGAAAATTATTTGAGGTAAATCTAGAAATTCAGAATGAAGGTCTGTCTGTAGAGAGGATTCACATTTGCATTTTATAGGCACTTGGGAAAAAAACAAATATGGTGCTAGTTTAAATCAAATGAACAGCTTGAGATGATATGATTTGAGCTATACTCTACACACAAACTAGCTTGTGGTTACAACTTCTCAGGCAGAGAAATTGCCCCACTCTGCTTCCATCAAGACTACTGTGGGAGTAGGGAAAAGTGAGTCACCAATGTAGCATAACTAGAGGCTTTTGGGATCTCAGTTTAGTATTGGGTGGATCCCCTGTTAGGTTATCCTTCTTGGTCAGCATTAAGCTTTTCTTCAATCTCCTGAGCTTTATGGGGCCCTGAAAGCCAAAGGTCAAAACTCAACAATGCAAATGCCCCAAGGCAAAAGTGACTTCAAATCCTATGAGTTTCTGCCTTCACTTATATCTTGACCCAGTGATTTCACAATACCTAATAGTTTTTTATATGTATGTACATGTGTACTTGTGTATGTATGATATATATATAAAGTTACAGAGATATCTTGGCATAATGTCTGGAGAACACTTCCATCAGTCAAGATAATACTTAAAATCAACCGGTTTGTGTCAGAAGACAATGAATGAGTTCCCCAGAGGTAGAAGTGTCATGGCAGAAGGTAGATAATCCCATGGCAACAAAGTTATAGATGTAAGCCATGAATGAGAGATTTGGTCAGCCTCTATCAGCCCCAAAGTACCATGACTATAAAGTACCAGGGAAGAAGCATGCCACAATTATACATGAGAACGTACCACTTATCACACCAACTTTGCCTACAAAGAGGAATGCATGGTGAAGAGGTATTATGGAAGTGAGAAAAAGTTAAGACTTTAAAACAGTGAGTTTCATTGCTATTTCCAGCCCATTGCCTTTGCAATAGCCTAATTCAGAAACTACACAAATTCTTTTGACTCTCACATTTTTCGTCTTGTTAATCTTGTATTGTTACAATAAATGATGTTTCTTTAAAGCACCTTTCTTTAATACGCCAGTTCATATCTCATTTAAAATATGTTATATGCCCATTGCCAGGCAAAATGTTTGCTCAGTGGAACTCTTATGTCCCTCAACTATAATGCAAAGCTCAATTACTTTTCATCGCACTTCAGGTCAATGAGTGAATTCTCCCTTGCTGGCTGTTATTCTGAGAGGTTTGTATGACCTTGATTTTACTTAATGATGGGTCTACTACCACCAGAATGACCAGTAAAGAAGCAGATGACCAATAACTGAGCAGAGTTACTAAGCTGCACAACCACTGGATAGCAGCTACTGAGGATCATAGAGAATGTTGTATTTGAGGACTGCATTTCAGAATTTCAGAAACTTTGTAATCTTTATTATAAATAAAATAAAATTTATTCTGCTCAATGTAAAGCTGTAACTAATATAAGACACTATTAAACATAATTAATCTTTATCTTATTTAGTAAATATCTGGCATTTCTCTTAGAGATAATCAGGAGAACCAATTTCTAAAAGAATCAAGCTTATAATATGGGTCTTACCTCAGCATGAGGAGCAGGGGGCAAAACCGAACTCTCGTTTTCAGTAACATTTCCAGTTGGTCCATTGTTTGGTGAACTGGGACCGGATCCTGGAGAACTACTACTGACTGAGGATTCTGAAAAATATTGGGAAATATAAATGTGTTTGTGAAAAATAAAGATGAACTTCAGTTACTATAATACATATCACTATGCATTGTTTTATTTAGCCTCTATGTGAATAAGAAGCACTGGGAAAATTTATGGAACATTTCTAATTTTCATATTGCCTCTTTGTATTCACTGCACCAATAAGGCCATGTATTCAATAGCTTCTGGAGAAGTACAAATATCCACTTATAGAGTGTCATAGATGCTATTGAGGAAAGGGAATAAAGTAAAGAAAGGAATATCCTCTTACTTGCTCTTGGGCTACCACAAAAAAATAAATAATGGTAGAAATAGTGAGCTTTACACATCATGAAAGCCATTAACACAAGACCCTGAGCAATTTCTGTTGTGACTGAAAAAATTACCTAAATACTGGGCTATAAACTGCTCTTTACTTGATATTCTAAGGCTATACCTTACTATAGTACATATGAGTCCAAGTTGCATGAAGAAATTACAATACAACAGAAAATCTCAATATTGCATTGAGGGCCTTGTAAAACATCATTGACCTTTAGCTCAATTTTTTTGCAGAGTATGAAAAGTTGCCTAAATTTAATATGTAAATATTTCAACACCAATAAAATAAGAAATTCCTTTAAGCAAAAGTTAGATTAAAATGATACAGATTATTTAATCTCTTTCTTCCTCAGAAATAAACTTTACATGGACCTTGACTTAGGAAGAAACTAACATATTTACTAAAACACCCAGTTAAAAGTAGAAATTTCTAATTCTTAGAAATACACCTAGAGAGTAATCATATCAAGCCTTGGAAAATTATTTACTGAGCCTCTAATTTCTTATCCTTTTCTATAACTCATTCATTGCAAGTTTTTCCATTTGCCTCATCTTTACATTGTGTTACCCCAACTCTGCAAAAATGATCGTCTCATACTTTCCAGTGACTGAGGCTTCTGATCTGATTTCCACGTGTATCTTTTCTACCTAATGATTATGTTACCTACACTCTCCTTAGTCATTTCGGAGGAAAAGCATTTTTCTTCTTCTCCCTTCTCCCGTGCTAGCACATTCACTCTCACTCACAACCCACCCCCTCCCATACTGTTTCAGTATGTTATCAATTATTCTGACTCATCATGCCCTCCTTCCCTCTGGGATTGCCCCCCTAGTCTGACAGCATGCTAATTATTCTTGAGGTGCAGTCTGCTCTCACAATGCCTACTCTTTCCTTCAACTCCAGGCAATATTGCTTACTCACTATCAACTTCAAGTGATCTCTTAAATGCCACCAAATTTGCAGGCTGTTGAAAAAATAGTCCTCATCCTTCTAATCCTTCCTACAATAACAATCTCTATCTCCATATTCATTATTCTTTCCCTCTGACGTTTCTTCCTTCTGCCGATTAGAAAATAACACATTCAACTAAGCTTGTGGCTTTATCCCTTTTCTCTTTCCTTTGTCAAAGTTTTCAATATTGTGACTTTACAAGTAATTTTTAGGCAGCCTCATGAAAGTAATATTTCTGGCACTTAATATCTCATAAATTTCAGCCTGAATTCCTCTGTAATGCTGGATATTCTTACTCTCCCATTACATGTGTACCAAAATAAGAGTATTTATATTAAATGTTACCTGCCTTAGAGTCATTCCTACTAACTTCTTTATCCTAATCAATTACTGGGTCTTTTCAGTTAGCTCATTACATTATTTCTCATCTAGGTCAGACTAAAATCATTTTGATTTAAGCTCTTGTTATTCTTTCATGGGTTATCTAAAAGATCTCTAAATATTCCTAAATTGCTAGAGTGGCCTCTCAAAATTTTCTTCCAAACTCTTGCCAGGAGGATCTTCCTGAGATGACTTTCACCATGTGCCTCTGCTACAAAACAGAACCTACCATTATTTCCAACTACTGCTCTTTCCCTACTCAGTCGGGTGCAGTCACTTATTGTCTGTAAGAACAAACACTTTGCCATTTCATATTTTTTTTAATCCTCATTTTCTTCCACTTATTTTACTGCAGGTCCAATCCCACCAATAGACTCCAAGTCTTGTTCACATGCCATCTGTCCCCCAGTGAACAGAAACTCCCAATTTCCACACAATAGTTTCTTGCCATCCATCTAGACAACTTATGTCTTTCAATATTAAATTAGAAATATTTCTTTACTAAGAAGTGCAATGCCACTGGAAAAAAAAATAGAAGAATGGTGACAGAATTCTGATCCTGCCACTTATTATGACATCTGAATAAGTTAATAGCATTATTAGATGCTTAAACACATCTTGCTCACTGCCTGTTTATATATTTTGTTTACATTTTGAATAATGGTCTTTTTCCATTTTTGCCTTTTATCTTGTTAAATTTTATTCTGACAAAAAAGTGCATGCATTTTTATTCTAATAGAAGCTTCTTTTCCCTGGCTCCTACCTCTTGTCTTTCTAGTATGATTAATTATGATTTCTCATTTATGTTTCATTTACATATAATTTCTATTTTCTTTAAAAAACTATTATCTTAAACATTCCATCTTATCAATTTTAAGTTACATCACTTATGTGATATTCAGACCAAAGTATTTCCTATGTAGAAATCTCTGTGACAAGCATTAGAATTCAAGACAGTACCTACTACAATAGGATTCCATAGCATCCCACTAGATAGGACCTGGGAGGAGGTAGCAACTGCTTTTCTGTGAACACTAAGAAATCTCTGAGAAGAAGTAATATTGGAAATGGATCTTAAAGAAAAGTGGTTCATAAAATGGTATCAAAATAAAAGGGAGAGGAGAGAAGAGGACACTGCAGACACAGTGATGAGTCAATGCTTAGAATTTTAAAAGAATGAGGCTTTGGGGGGAAGAAGGCAGAAATTCCATGAATCTAAAGAAGAGGAAAACAGCAGGTGGTTCCTATCCATCGACTATTAAGAGAAGAGAGACAGCATGGGTTTCCAAAGGGCATACACTTGAACCTAGGAAGTGGGGAAGTGAGAAAGGTATACAGGTTAGAAAATGACAGCAGTGACAACTTAACTACTGTGGCACCATGACATCTCTAAATGGACTAAAAATTTACTAATAAGTTCCAAATAGACCTCATCCAAATTAGATGGAAGCTGACCAGAAACAGAGAGGAGCACAGGTGAAGCCAACTGTGTGTTGATAGTTCAGAGCCTCTAAAGACATTAGGAGTAGGTGCATCATACCAGTTAAAAATATCTACCAAAGCATTTGCAAGTGCCAGTTCACAGTCAGAAATTATGTGTTTAATAAACACATATTCAAGTATTGGGGAGTCATTAGCTCAAAAAAAGGAAATGGAAGCTATCATATTTTAGACATGAAGAAACTTGAGTAAAACTCAGGCAAATCATAACCCTTATTAATGAGAATTAATTGCTATTCTGATAGCCTTGAGCTAAAGCCCATGGTAATTTATAAGGAGAAAAAAATAACTATGGAGAAAAGGTTATGGCCAAGAAAAGAGACTAATTGAGAAGTAGAAGAGAGTATTTGTATCAATAAATTATGACCTTAGATATTAAGATTACAAAGCAGAAAAAAGGTGATATGTACATTTTTCTCTTTTCTTCAAGTTTTTATGCTCATGAGAGCCCATTTTCCCTAATTAGAAAACCCATCTCCCTCCACTTGCATTAGACAATTGAAATGTTCATTATTCTTTTACATTTATTAAAACAGATTTATTTTCCAGCCCTTAAAACCCACCAAGGCCACCAATTAGGAAAGTTTACTTAATATTATCACTTATTAACATATAATAGTATTTCTTGGAAAAGTCTATAATTTCAAAGCTAAAATCCAATTAATATTAGTGATTACATTGATATTGGAAAATAAACATACACTCTACTAAAATACTTTTATTTACTATTCTTTTTTAACATTTCTAATCCCTCTAGGAAATTTTTCCCATTGTAATTATGAGTGCTCTACATAATATATCAAGCTATCAGGACTGGAAAGGAGACCAAACAGTTTTCTTTGTCTTTCCTAAACAGCTTGTCAATCTTTTAAGTTGCATTAGTACTCTGTACCTAAACATACTTTTTCATCTTCACTTCATTTCACTTCACTTGTGTATTATTGTGCTGAACTACACACAGTCATGGCCAAAAGAGATACAGAAAACCAAGAATTTTTAAAACATTAAGGCTGAGAACTGATTTGGGAGAAATAATGCCAACTTACTACATTGGTATAAGCATAGTTTTCCTTGGGAATAGAACAAAAATAATTGCTGGTCATTACTTCTTGATGCAACTAAAGGAAATGACCAGGTATAATGCATGGCTCTAAATAAGTACTCAGTAAACAGTAATCAGTATTATTTTGGATAGCCTTTTTGGTTCTTGTATCCTTAAGTCTTCTCTAAATTCTCAGTCCCAGTTATAACTGGGACTACAGGGGTTTGTGAGACATCAGGTTGAATTTCCTAACCTGTTCTCCACACTACTAACCAGGCAGCTAAAAAAATATGAACTTGTCCATTTGAGACTAGTGAAAATGACAGTTTCTTCCCCTTCATAAAAAGCAATATATCCCCCTCCTGCCATAAGTCCCAGATCAGTAGTAAACACATAAAGTCATTTATGAGTTCTGTAAATTTGTTGAAAAGTCAAGGTCTTGCTGTTGCGTGTAGTTTAATTTTCCCAGATGTATTTTGTATATTCATGTCTAAGTATGGGGGAATGTTCTTCTTGGACCTCCCTCTGCTCATTTCTGATCAGATTTCATTAAAAGTTTTATTTTCCTAGTTGGCATTCCCAAAATGAACTGCCTGTTTTTGAAAAGAATAGGGTGAACTTTGATGCTTTCTAGCTATGCCTTGATTGACACATAGCTGTTTTTATATTCATTTCCTGTTAAACACAGTTGGTGAATACATAGCAAGGTTTACTGAACTATTTGTGAAATATCAATGAACTTTCCTTTCAAGAAATACTTTGTTGGAGATGACTTTTAATATGCAGCAGGTATATTTATTCTAAACTATTTTTTTATTCCTACTACCAATATTTGTTAGTATGTGACTGCTCAGTCCTCAATTACCTGTCACCTCAAACATTCTCTTCTTGAATGAAGTGACAACATTTCCATCCTTCCGCCTGAGTAAGGGGCTGCTTCTCCTCTCTGCCACTTTCTGTTTTAACCTGGACCGCACCTTCAAGTTGGGCTCAGAGGCTGGGGATTGAGACAAAGAAAATAGATAAAAATTAAAAAATAAAGAGCCAATTGCTCTAGTGTTTAAAAAAAAAAAAAGCCTGACTCTTTTCTTGGTCCCTTCTTCTCAAATAAAACCCAAGCATGTAGATAAGCCATTGACTCAAAATTAATAAAACAGACAAACAGAGTATCATTTTTATGAAACATGTGAAAGGTTTTTCTACATATGTATATGTGAAAGTGAAAAGGGAGCAAAAATAAGCTTTTTACTTCATCTAGCAGCACTGGGATTGTTAATGGGAGGTTTAATCACTAATTATGTTTGGGTCAGAGTAAGATTTATTATACTTCAACGTCAGGCCTCTTAATTCTCTCAAGGGTGAAACTCAATAACCACAAAAACAGTAACTTAATGTGATTTTTGAGACTCTGGTTTGACTTCTGGTAATAAGAAGACACCTTCGTAGTACATAATTTATGTCTAATCCTGACTCCGGGAATATTTCTTTGTCAGTAATTTCTAACCTAAAACCCTGGGAAAACACACTCAGTATAATAACATCAGCCAACTAGAGTCACTGTGAATAAACTCTTCTATACTCACCATACCAACAGTTAGAGCGGAAGCTGACAATGTCAGAACTGAAAGTTTGAAGTTGGGTTATAGGTTCCAAAATACAAATGCACATTACTTCTACATATGTTACTATTTCTTTTTAAATTATTCCAAATAGCAAATCTCTATACTTATCACTTATTAGATTTTAAAATAACCATACTTTATAAGAACAGTAACACTGGATTGGATCTTTGTATAGAGGCTTGTGGTTAATGATGATGGTAGAAAGGATATTTCTAATCACAACATATACAGTATGTTTTCTTTGTTCTAGTACTATTCTTTGCATGTTATTTTTATCAATATTAACTTAATTAATCATAAAAACATTCATAAGGCAAAGATACTACTTGTAATGTGATAATATTGATGAGGAAACCAAACCACAGTGGGTAGATAACTTGCCCAAGGTTACCAAGGAAAAAGGGGATGAACCCAGGATCTATACCCAGGCAGTCTGATCTATTCTAAATACTGAAGATATTGCTCCCTCATCTTTCCTTACAGATGAATACCACAAAAATTAAAGATTGTTTTCGTAAAGCACCACTAATCATCTACAACAGATAAAATGTAGCTAGATTTTTGGCCGGTGAAAATGTTTTCTTTGAAAGAATTTATATTTTTGACAGCCTGCAAAGAATATCAAAAGTAGAGTTTATAATGCTACCCCTCCCTTTTTTTTTTAACTTTCAGACTTCAAATATCTACACTTATTTTTCTCTTTGTTCTCTTTTCCCTTCTCTGTAGCTCTAAACTTGGACTGAGAACTCTTGTATTACAAGTTTTCTTGGAACTGACTAGGTGAAACAGGAATTTGAAACAAAAAATTACTTTGGATTCAAAAAGTGAAGCAAGTTATTTTTGTGTGTTATTCATCTGAGTTTTATGCCTGAAAATATAGAAAAGATAAAAAATGGGGGCCTGAAAATAATATAATTGAAACCAAGCAGTAGGGAAGAGATCAGGGCTGAGAACAAGAAGCTCAGAGTGACAGAGAATGGAAATGTGTCCCTTGCTAGACCTCCCACCTTGAAGCAAAGAAGGTAAGAAACTTGGGGAAGGATAAGGTTCCAGCCAGACATGCAGGAGTGGCAACCCACTTTAACTTAGTGTACAAGTGGAATCTTGGTTACTAGTATCTTATTCACTTAAGAAAACACAAGAAAATGGCACTACATTAGCTTATATGCATTTGTTTGCCTGTATGGTTATGTTTAAGTTCCTTTAAAAATATCAGTCCTGCTTCTGAAAAGCAAGGATACTTTCACCTAACACCGAGAAAGGAAAAAATAAGGAACTGCCAGTCCCTAGGTGCCTGCTATTTTGGCATTCTCTGTTTTCTTCTCTATAACCCAAGAACAAACATCACAGATTCTCAGACTTAGATATAAACATGATTTTGTGATGAAACCTGAAGAATTAAACACTACAAATTGGCTGTCCAGAGGGAGCCAATTGATTAACCACTGACTTGGTGGAGGAGAAGAGAGTGCGTTTTCAGTGAGGGATGTAAGGTTGGGCTTGCATGTGCTCCTTTCCTGCTACAGAGTTTTCAGTGAGATTGAGGTGCTTTCTTTTTCTTTTATGTTGCTTCCTTTTCTTTTCTTTTGTTTTTGTTTATTCGTTTGTTTGGGGAGGGGGTATGTGTGGTGCTGAGACTCAAACTCAGGCCCTTGAGCATGGTAGATGAGTACTCTACCACTGAGCAATGCTCCCACTTGACATTCCAGTCCAGTGCTGTCTGAACCTGATTCTTGATCTGTGAAACAAACCCTGACATCTTTTAGACTTAGCAGGTCCCAAATCCACTGATGCTCAGTACTGTCCTCTTCCTTTTCCTAACACTAAGCTCAATGTCTGTGATCAACACAAAAATGTGAGAACATCTTGGAAAAACAGAATATGGCGTTTTAGCATTCTGTATGAATTCCACAAGCTTTTAACAAAGAAATTATTTTTTAGGATGGCAGATAGTTTTTACTCCTTTCTGTTTGTCTATTTGAGAGAAGGCTGGATAGGAAGCTCTTAAATTTCCTTTAGCAGTCAATGTAAAGATGTAAACACCAGAAAGGGAAGAAGAACTGAGTTCTAATTAGACATCTACCACCTGCTAAAGTCAATAAGCACAAGTACTTCATTCCTTATTGAACATGAGTACATCAATATAAATCAGGTATGAAAATTACTTTGTACTGTCTGAAGTCAAATACATGTGTGCTTAAATGCCTGTTCCACACGTCAGCTATTTGGCTTTGGATGAATTATTTGATATCTTTTGGAGGGGGTAGTACTGGGGTTTGAAGTTCCTTATGCAGAGCCACACCCTCAACCCTTTTTAAAGCTTTAGTTATTTTTAAGATAGGGTCTAGCATTTATGCTGGGAAGGCCTGGATTATAGTTCTCCTATCTGTACTTCCTATGAAGCTGGGATAATAGGTTTTATTCTTTTCTTTTATATTGACTTTTGCCCTGGCCAGCTTCAAACCACAATCCTCCTGATCAAGACCTCTTGAGTAGCTAGGATTACAGGTGTGAACTACAACACCTGGCTACAATTATTTGGTATCTTTAAACCTCCATTTCTTGGTTTAAACTGGGGATAGTTTTGCCTGGATTTTCTCCATTTGACCAACAGATTCCACTTTCCTTCTTTCTCTAAGCCCATGGGGGCTGAGTCATATAGGTGCATCACTTTATTTCTTTGCTAGAATGGATGGATTTCATTTGGGCTCAACCTCCTGGCAGGATAGGCTATTGATGAAAGGATTAAGGAGTGAGGGGTCAGGGTATCCTACACTCTTCCTATTAGGGTGCTCATCACTGGGCATAGTTTTATACATTCCTGACTTCCTCTCCTCCTGGAGGCTCCTGCTACATGGCTCCAGCTCTCCAGGAGCAATTTCTTCTCCCCTTTAGCCTACAGGAATGGGAAGGCTTCCTGCTGTTGCCATTTTCTGGGTGCTTCCACATCCCTAATGAGTTTCTTTAACCTTGTTCACTTCATTGTACATAGTCCTTTCATAGTCCCATGAAACATGACATATAGGGCTGCTTCCTGAGCCTTATTAATTCAGTCTTATATAGCTAACAGTTACTGTAGAATCAAATGAAATAGTGTCCAGCATAGGATAAGGCATTGGTTTTGAACCAGAAAAATTTTGCCCCCAGAAGACATTGTTGGTAATCAGTATAGGAAGTTGATACCAAAATCTATTATATAGAGGCCAGAAATGCTATCAGACAACCTACAATGCCCAGAACTGCCTCCAAGACAAAGAATTATCAGGACTCTCAAGTATCAGTAGTGCCAAGCATAAGAAATCCTGAGGTGAACAACCAGTAACCTATTGTCAATAGCTGCACTACTCTGAGATGATTTAATGAGATAATTTCTGTTAGAGTTTCTCAGAGGGTATAGGAGACATAGGCAAGGGAAGATTTTCAGAATCTGATGATTGTCATGTATAGCTTAAAAATATTAAATATTTCAATAATTTTTAGTACTGCTAATATTTCAATTTTCAAGATTTTTATTGACAGATAATAATTGTGTATCTTAGGGGGCTATACTGTGATGCTTTGGTACTTTTGTACATATGTATTGGTCAACTCAGAATACTTAATTTTTTCCTTCATCTCAAATACTTATCATTTCTTAGTGATGAAAATATTCAAAATCTCCTTTGCTAGCTGTTTTGGATTATATGATACAATACTGTTAACTACAAATACCCTCTGTGTTGTTCCTCTCTGGCTGTGGCTTTGTATCCATTCAGCAGCCTCCTCCCACCCTCCCCTCCTCAGCCTCCTCAGCCTCTGGTCTGCTCTCTGGTTCCATGAGCTCAGACATTACACATTCCAGTGTGAATGAATTCGTGTGAATGCTGATAACACTTCCAAAGGGAGTAAAGCTAGTTGACTTCTATTGGTTGGTGGAGCTATGCAGAAAGTCATAATCCTCAATGATGGGAAGGATAATATTGGAGACACTGTATTTTATCTTCAAATATTGAGCAAGGACATAACTTTCTAAAAGACAGAAATTACTGATATACTGGAAAGTGCAACATACACTTACTTTTGCAAAATATACAATATACAACTTCTGTAGGAAAAGCTCCTAACCAATGCTTCTAGCGAAAGCTTTTCCTTGGATTTCAATACTGGTTTTTAGTCACCAGAGTTATTAGTATTTCAGTGGTAAGTGTGAAGGATGAGATGATGGATCACCATCATTTAGTCCTTACAGTGCTTAGAAACTCACTTCTAACATTTCAGAACCTGCACACCAAAGCTCAGAATGATATATACCCAAGCAGTAGAATTAATGACTTTGTGTGCTGATTCAGTTTGCAGTTAGTTAATTCCATTTTTAATGCTCTAGTCTCTCCCAAAG